TTTGTAATATATCCTTAAAAACTTATGATATCCCTACTAAAATTAAGCAGGATCAAACAATCCCTGTTGGGTTGTGTACCAGCATACTACATCTAAATCTGTTTTATTTTAACTTTTCTTTTGAACAATCATTGATTTTTCCCCTGCCTTAATGGGTGATAATAAATAAAGAAGTACCTTTAGCGTAGTAAAATGAAAAAAGAGAAATGACCTTGTGATGACATGTGAGTGATTCTCCTTTGGAGAGTTATTGCCATCAAATTTGTATTGAGGAGAAATATTTTTTTATAAATATGAACAGTCAAAGAAATTAAAATATTTGAATGTACAGTGAACAAAACTCGGAACCTTCAAAGGAAAGTGAGTGGAGAGCTTTCCCTGGTACCTTATCTCTCCCTCGAGGGGCTTTGCTAATTACAGTTTCGAAAAAGTCAATATTCTTCATGTTTGGATTGGTTTTATTGAATATTTTCTACATTTCTGATAAACAAAAAAGTAGTTTCTGTATTTAATATTAAGTGGATTCCCCCTCCCATGCCTACTCTGCCATTCCTTGCAAAAACAAACAGTTTTGTAGAGGCTTTCTCATGTCTTTCCACAGCCTGTCTGAGTCCCTAGAGCCACTGGTGCATAAACGGGCGACACACACACACACAGTCATTATGCCATACTCCAGGGAGACTCGTTAAAAACATTCTGGAGATGCAAACTTTCATTCCATTTGCAAGTTATCAGAGCAGTTTGTCACAGCCAAAGTGTTGTGATGTAACTATGGTGTTCCCATGAGGGTTCCATCAAAGTGCCCACTCCTTCCCATTCCCTTCATGCGCATCTCAATCTGCACTTACTGTACCTGCAACAGTGGCCTTGTAGCCTTGATGACAATGATGAGATGTATGAATCATTAGTAAGCTCTTGAGTAATCGATGATAGATGGCGAAGGTGAGACAGAAATGCTCCTCGAGATGCCCTTAAGAGCTTTTTCCAGTGGATACGGATTCCGGAGACGAGCACGTTCACAGTAAACAGCAGCCCTCAAGTCAATCATTCTTTATCAAAGCAGGCCATCCATTCCTTTTGCTCCCAATCTTTTGTACACAGCTCTCAAACCTGGGCCACCGAAGAGGGAAAATGACAAGCCAGGAGAAAGTAATGATGTTTGCGATGAGCCTCAGTGTTGACTCAAGTCTAGCTGCTAAATCCCTTGGCTCCCACCAGCAGGCCATTACACACACTCGGTGTGGTCCACATAAGCCGGGAGAGCGGCTTTAAGGGGGCCAAGATGCTCTTATTTGAGGCTGTGGGGGTGGGCACCAGTTCAATGAACCCTGTCTGCACAACTTGCACGTTTTCATTCTTTCAACCAATTTTGCAGTGCTCACCTTTTATTATTCCACTGTTGGTTAAGCTGTCTTGTTTGATTTTTTTAAAGAATAGAAAAGCAATTTTCCTGCTTCATCTCTATCAGTTTGAATAGCATTGGGACAACCTATTAGAGGAGCACAAAAGCCAAAGTTGGGTCATGAAATTGTCTTTCACTGACTGTTCGGATTCCTGTCGATTTCCTTTTAAGAGAAATATAGATTTGGCATTACCAGGACCAGAGAGGTTTTTTTAGACAGAAAATTGATAGACAAAAAGCATAGCAAAGATAAAATCATTTGGGGTGGTTTTGAATTTTATGAAAAAGGTCAATATTCTTCATGTTTGGTAGGATTTTATTGAATGTTTTCTATATTTCTGATCAAATCAAATCTATCTCAGGTGAGGTATTTGCAATAAATATTAACTTTTGCAATGTATTAAAACACACAGCTGCATGCATCTATATGTCTCCTACATCTCCTTTATGCTCAATATGTGTTGTTTTCACATTGCTTTTTTGCCTGGTTGCATCCAGATTGGAACACAGCAGGTTATTCCAAAAATTTGATTAAAATCTATCATGCCAGCATTGCCTGAAAATTCAGATGAAAAAACTCAACTAAAAAACACAAACCTGGGCCCTATCTACTACACTGCATGTACATTAGATAGTTACCTAAGCATGTCTTACTATAACCTCAACCTTTAAAAGGTATACAGAGATTAAACACAAACACTGGGGCCGTTTCTCAATGTTGAGGAGGCTTGCTTGGTAGCACATGTATGCTGGGCATTTAAACAGTGATTCGGCGCCACTTGATGACGTAGTATGCTTGAAATAGTGGCTCTGGAGCGGCTTTATTCGACATTGAGAAACGGCCAGTATAGTGCTTCGAGTCATGGAGCAGCCATTGTTTGTGGAGTGTTGAAGAAATGATTCCCAAAACCCGGAAATAAGTTAGCATGTAAGCACTTCCGGTTCCCTAGTCTCATAGTTAAAGGTTTTTTTAATAGACTTTTGGTTAGATGAAATACATTCTGTGGTTAATAGACGCTTAAGAGATTCTCACATTTTGTTCTACGACATAAAAACATCAGCTGGTGAATGTCTGAAGCTTTTACGCCTCTAAAAAAATAAAATAAGGCAGTTGCTAGCAATAGTCCTCCTTTAGCTTAGTGGGGGTGACCTGGATGTAGTCGTTCATTACATGAGCTTTTTTGTTCTGGTGATTGTTTTCAGGCAAGTGTTAAAATGTCAAGATTACCTAAAAAAAGAAAATTCATTTCTAGAAGTGATTCAGTTCACTTTGGTAACCCAAAAGATCATTATTTTCCAATAAACTTTCACTAATACACAAAACTAATATTCTAAAAAGGTTTATAATCTTAGTTTTGGAGCTGCCTCTGATAAATGATAACCATGAGAATAATGTTTCAAGGCCACAACAATACAAAAAGGCAGCTACCTGGGTCCAGGAGACAAGCTGGTGAGGGTGGCAGTTTTCAGAGGCTGTCAGTCTAGAGCCCAAAAAAAATACAAATAAATCAGGCCGCTTGGTTTTAAGAGCTTAGCAGCTATTTCCTGTCAGAGAGGTGCTCAGTTGACCGTAGTATGACTACATTGAGGTTTTGACTGAGGCTGTACTGCGCTCAGATGTTTGGCAGGAGTTGATCCAGGGACATACAGTATTTGCAGCATTTAGTGAGTCAACATGTTGATCCTCATTTCCATATTTCACCTGGATGCTAAGCCAAGCATTAGAGTGGTCTCCCATGAACACAAAAGAAAAACAAAAAGAAACTGGCCTTCAACAAAATGCTGCTTGAAATGCAAAGCAAACAGATATCTCTTTCATTTAGCCATAAACGAAAAACAGGGCATCTTTTGTGATCAACCGCTCTGTTTGCATTTTTTTTGTCATGAAGCGAGTAATCATCGCAAGTCTCTTTTTCCATTCAAAGCACTGTTGCCCCGTCTCCCTCTGTTTTCTGACAGCATTATTCAGATGAGTTGTGCATTGCAGTCTGAGTCATGTTTACTGACCAAAGCCGCAGTGTGAAATCCAGAATAATTGCTCCCCAAAACTCCCCTGGCACAGTGTTCTGGTCTACTAAAGTCAAGCAGGAAGTCAAAGCGAGGCAGACATTTCCAAAAATAAAAATGTTCTTTTTATTTTTCCTCTGACAATTTTGATGTCATTGGAAATAAATGAATACGAAAATACTCTGGAGGAACGTCTGTGAAAAAGCTAAGCCTGGGGACACCTGCTTTATATCCAGCTGCTTTCTTAGAAACGGGGGCAAAACAAACAAACATGTCAGGGGCACAGTGTCTATTTTCAACACGGTGCCTGTACAAAAAATGAAGAGCAAAGGGTGGAGATCACTGTGTGGAGGCACTGGTGACAGGCAGATAATCCCACCAAGATGGCATCGCCAGCACTTTTCACAACAAGGAGATGGGGGAGCATCATTGCCATTCAGAGCTACACACACGAATACACACAGCGTAATCTTAAAAGCAGCCATGTTCCCTCCCTTCCCGCATGTCACTCTCATTGTTTCATGTTTTTCAGAGTGACTAAATAAAAACCAAAAGGGAAACAAATCCTCCGAAGAAAACACTGGTGTCGGGATACTTTGTAGTTGTGCCTGCATGTGATACTTTCTAGTCTGGTTTCTTCAAAATGGTTTTTTCCATTTGAGCTTGACTCTTTTAAACTGTGGGAGGCTAAATGGAAGGAGGACGCAGCTCTAAAGGGTTTACTGCCATCTGTTGGTACTGAGGGAAACTGGTAATCAGTCAATATTGTTTATGTACTCTACGGTTTATTCATTGGTGATATGCATGCCGACTTGAACTGTATTACGCAATCTATGGAGCAAGGCCATTGTAGAGACACTTGTGGCAATGTAACAAAGGTCTTCCAGCTTCCCCTTTACCTACCCATTATACTTCTTACCACAACCACTCTTTTCACACATTCACGGGTAAATGAATGAATGACGGCTGCTACCGAACTGAATAATTTTTCTTAAGAAAATGCAAACGAATGCTCAAGAATGAATGGATGTTTTCAGGGAATTATATATTGGCTCCAGTAGGGGAAAAAAAAGTTAATACGTGTGGATGTTTTTTCTGTCGTTGGTTGGAGAAATACAAGTTTCCCAACAACTTGAGCTGCCCGACGCACAAGATACATTTCACTCAGAATTAGTTCAGCAGCAAGTCAGTAACAAGGCGGGCTGTTTCTAGGACTATGTAAAATGACTCGTCATAATGAATGTGCACGGACCTGCGTTTTCATAACATCTTGAATCACCATCTCACTCCGGTTTTTGCATGCTTGACTGCGCCATAATTACCATTTAAAGTGGGATAGAAGTGGGGTGAATGAGATTGTTGTTTGCACCTCAGGTCACGCATGCTAGGCTGCCTTTCTTGATTAGGCTGAGGCTAGAGGAGATCGGAAAATCAAACAGATGGATTTTTCTAAATTTCTACAATAACCTTTTCATACCATTAGCCGTGTGAATACGACTTAAATATTATTCAAATGTCTTCTAATTGCTGATAATATTTCTGTCATGCTCTAATTTGGTGTGAATGTGAGAATATATCCAGCAGTAATGAAAACCATTAATTCCCCTTTATTTAAAAAGTCAAACTGTATGGTAAAGGTAAACAAACAAATACAATGCTTGCATGGTTGTTACACAAGATGTATAAAACAAAATTGAAGATCATATTATGGGGCATTGCAACAGTGACCATTGCTTTTTAAACATGGCACACCTCCATCACCATTAAGGGAAGACAGAATCTAAAAACTGCCGGGGAAAAGTCACATAATTGGCAGTATAATGTAGAGTGAGGTTACAAAAACAGTTTGCCTCAGAGGACTCAAATATCAGGGCTACACAGATGGACCTCTGGCTAGTAAGAGTTCCATGACTAAAGACAATAGCTGTGAAATATGCATCCAAACTGGCTCATTTTAGAGGGAACCGTCTGTGTCCAAAAAAACAAGTCCCCTTTTGTCACAGGAAAGGGGTTTTGATTAATTTAGCGAAATGCGGCACGGCTCCTGAAGGAATTTAAAGAGTATTGATTGAGACAGGAAAAAAATGAAAACAATAATAAAGCCCTTACATTACAGTTGAACTAGATATTAGGAGGTAGGGATTTAATAAAGAAGGAAAAGACTAAATACAGACAAGACTTCTGCAATAAGTCTACTGCATCTGCTGCTATGATAATGTAAAAATACAAATCAAGATGGTAGTTTTAGCCAGAGGTCATCAGTCTGTCTCCTCTTCCTCAGACTCGGACTCTGAAGAATAAAGAAGAAAAAAAAGTTAGCACGAGATTAAAACAATGACTCACAATAACCATCAACCCTTAGATATGGATCAGAAAGAAGGTGCAAATAGAGTGGCGCAGGAATGAGTTCCACATCTTAAACCCAGAAATGAGTTAGCATTTTAGCACTACCAGCCTCCAATGTCTCAAAGACATTGTTTTTTTAAATAGGTTTTATGTTACATTCCAGAAATAAGGTCCATCTTTAATACAAGCTAACGATATTTTCACGTTATTCTACGACAATTTGCCAGTAAACACACCACTCGTAGCTGAAGCTGGCATACAAATGGCTAAATGAGACTACTTAACGGCCTCACGCCGACCATTTAGCTTAAACCTTAACCTTTAGCTTAGTCATGTGACCGTGATGTAGTTTGTTTATAGCCAAACGCTAGTTTCTTTCTTCGAGTGGTGGCATTTATGCTTCAACTTTTGTAAAGTGGTGCTACTATGTGGAGATCATGCCGTATGTCTGTTCAAAACGTATGTTTGCCAAACATTTTTTTATCATTTTCCAAAATCCAATGAAAATCCCATTGCCACTAGTAGATGGAAACATTGTTAAGCTAACTTCCAGGTTGGATACCAGTAAAAAACCATTCATCGCTGCAAGGTAGGAAAAAGACCTTGAGGTGCTTACCTTCCTCTGCGTTCTTGAGCCATTCGACAAACTTTTTCATCTGCTCAAGGAAAACGCTTTTTCCTTTAGCAGTGTGGGCATCGTTGTACCACTTTAGAATTGCCTCCTCACTCAAGACATCCGCTGTTTGAAGAAAAAGAAGAAATTACAATCCATGATGCCAAAAACACAAATATTTGCCCAGGTGGTCTCCAGGCAGGATGACAACATCCATCAAGACAAACTTTTGGATCTAATCCGTAGCCATCTGGCTTCACACTATCAAACTTAACTTTTCCTACAAAAGGCAAAGATGGAAAAAAGGAGCTTACCTTTGTAGAGCAGAACAACAATTTTCTGGAAAGAGTTCATGAAGTGGATGTTGTCGTAGCAGTACTCCTGGATCTTCAGCAGGAGGGTGAGCTCAGAGAGGCCCTGGGAGGTAAACGCCTTCAACAGTGGGCTGTATTGCTGAGTAAGTAAAATGGGGGAGAATAAAAATTAGAAACCGAAATCTAATTTGATGAGTTCTTTCTCTTTGAGCGGGGTAACAATGTGGTTAAGTTAGACAATTATCTTCTCTGCTAAATTAAAATCTTACAGCAGCCTAGATTGTATTAATCATTTTTGTATCAAAGTTGTCACCTTTAAGAGTTTGATGGCTTGTTCCGTGACCAGCTCCTCCTTCTTGTTCCACTCCACAGAGCTCATTACACTTGCCCAAATCAGCCCAATCATCGTCTGCTCGGAGATGTTGTTCTTCTTGATTTCCTCTCGGACGTAGAGGATGATCTGCAAGAAACGAGTCCAGAGATGGAACGCATGCTATTGGAGAAAATGTGGAAACTGCGGACAGCTTATGCTGCATAAGACTGAGGAACACTTGGAGGACACAGAGGGTTGAGAGGATTTCCAGAACTTTTCATTGATCAACTGCATCCTCAGGGGTCGGTAAACAAAGTGGGACTTGGTTAGTGGAAAATTGAATGAGGCTTACATCTTTGAGGGGGTCACCGCGTGACATCTGCTCCTCAAGCTCCTTCTGAAGCTCCTTGCGAGCACCAATGGACTGCTGGTTTCTGGCATGGTCCGCAAGCTCCTTCAGGCCGACGTCGGAGAAGTACTTGGAGAAGTACTCGCAACTGCGCTTGTTGGCAGGGAAAAGCTCCTGAAAAAGAAAAAGCACATTGTCAAACATTAAGGCAAAACCTGCTTGCGGTGCGCTCGTCTTTTTTCGCTTAGGAAGGTTCCTACTGAAGTGGAAGGATCTAGAAGTATTTGTGCTAGCCATGATAAGTGCCGTTTGAGTTCTCCAGATGAAAGGAGCATCAAGGTTCCTTTAACTTGGGATACACTGGACCATCATTTTAAATAAGGAGTTAGACTAGTCCTTGAGGCTGCAACAGACATTCACGGAAACCACTTTTTTATTCAATTCAAACTGTGGTAAAGAATTATATATTTCTAATTGTTGTCCACATTTTTAAAGCCCGGATGAAACCACACTTTAAGAATGCACCAGGTAATGTTTTGGGAATTTGTTTTGTTTCCTCACAGCAGACTGATCAAATACATACAATATTTTTTTACAATTCCACCAATTCTGCTCCTCGAATTAAAGAAGCTTTCTTTATTAGAGGGCTGGATGCTACAATAGCTTGGGACATTGTCAATCATGTGGGTTACTAATAGGGATGGGAATTTGAAAGCAAATGTATATTCGAATATTCGACCCCCCAAAAAACAGTCAACCGGTTAACCGAAATGTACATATCCTTTAAAAAAAAAAATGTTTCAATTTTTTTTAAACTTTTTTTTTTACCCAATTTTTGGAAATAAATAAATACATGTTCAAATAAGTGTAGAAATCAAGTCGAATTTGTCAAATGTATTGAACTGGTGATCACAGTTTGACAGCTATAGGACTATAGCTTTCATGTGCGATTCACAATCAGCCAAGCTGTAGAGAAGACTCTCTCAGCTGGAACGGAGGTTGCGGGTATAGCAAGGTATAAGTATAAGTGCATCATGCATAAGTTTAATTTGGCATAGTTTGACCTCTACACCGCACTCACTAACCTGGTCGAAATATTTCCACACATTACTCCTTTTTGACGCCATGTCTGCTGTGTAGGACTCTTCTTAGAGTGTAAATAATTACCGGACTATGACTGGTAAAATATGTTGAATACCAGCAAAACTAAATCTCTCTAGTCAAAATGTGTATGTACTTTGCCACCACACACGGTTGCCAAGCAGCGCTTATTATTGTTGTACATATATATACATACATATATATACTAGGGCCGGGACTTTAACGCGTTGATTAAGATTAATTAATTACACAAAAATTAACGCGTTAAAAAAATTAACGCATTTTAATCGGATTAAAATGCGTTAATTTTTTTAACGCGTTAATTTTTGTGTAATTAATTAATCTTAATCAACGCGTTAAAGTCCCGGCCCTAGTATATATATGTATGTNTATGCGAATTCCTTTTTGCATAATTTGCAAACAACTGTGCTCTTATCGACTCTTCCCTCCGTCCGTTTTTAAAACAAAATGTCCCATCCACGGGGCCAACCAAAGCGGTCTCATCAGCTTCTTCGTTCACGTTTGACTATTGTTCACTGTGGTTTGTTGTTGTCTGAAGTAATGAACGTTAGTTGGTGCTCCAGTATAATCGGTACCCCTGAAACTCATCCAGTGAGAAACGTTCCGCGGTGCAAAAATAAGTGCGATTAAAATGCGTTAATTTTTTTAACGCGTTAATTTTTGTGTAATTAATTAATCTTAATCAACGCGTTAAAGTCCCGGCCCTAAAAATAATATTTTTTTAATAAAAACATCATAAATACGGAGGAGCACTGAGCGAGAAGATTAGGGATACAATTAACTGATTTAAGATTAGTCAGAAAACGATCATCATAATATTTGTTTTGCCTCTCAGGGCTTCCATACATCAGCAACATCAGTAAGATCATTCGACAGTTNTTCTGGGTAGTGTAGTGTCTTCTGCCATCCTTTACTCCGAAAAAATATTTGTTTCTCCGAATCGAAGGGGAAAAATACAAAAGCATTGCACACAATTTAAACCAATCAATGTTGTGTAATTAACAAGGATAATCTGGTGTTTTTCAGTCGATGAGTAGTGCAGATATCATTGTAAAATCAATCGACAGTAAGGGGAATACTTACTTCCGGGTGTACAATTCTCCGTTATCCAATGGGAATGGACGCTCACATTGCCTTTAAGGGCAGCCGACACAAACGAATGCCGTGCTTCCATGAGCGTCAAATCCCGCCCCAGATGGGAATACATTGCAATCAGTTGAAAGCTATTTGCGTCCCTTTATGAAGCTGAAGGAGCATAGGAGCGTCACAACTACACGCCACGGGACCCTGACCAAACGTCGCTCCTGGACGATTATGGCGTGAGAGTGTATTGCCCATTTCTGTTCCCCTGGGAGTAGCTAATGCAGCGGAGAGCAGTGGATAACGTTGGCTAATTCATCCGTACTCTTTGGGCTTATCAGACTGGTAAATTAGCTAGCTTGCCGCTAGCCATTTTCTTTCTCCGCTATCAATAAAAAGTAACCAATGCAGATCAATTTAGACTAGCCATGTCGCAACTTGCTGGCCAACCCTATCTTGCTAGCTGGCTTACCTTAGCTTGCTCGCAGGCTAATGTTGTGCTTGCAAATTACTATTGGAGGGGATATCTTACCTAGCTAGTCTGTGAAATGGCTTTACAAGCTGATGTCAAGAAAATAATATGAAACTACAAAGAAAATCTGTAAGACTAAAGATAGACAAAAGCGATGAAAAGCAGAGAATGTTAACTAAGCTAAGGTTAGCCTGTCAACAGCTTTAAGAGGTGTCAGAAAAGTGACCAGTTGCTTCCTAAGGTTTACTAAACATGTATTTGTAAAGGGCAAGCTAGTTGGTATCATGGAACCGATGTTCCATAATGTTTTTTAGGAACATTATAGATGGTAACGTCATTCTGATTATCATTAGTTCACATTATTGCTTAAGCTATTGCCCAGAATGGTTTCTTGTGGAGTATGAGCATGTGTTTGATTGGAGCGTCAGGGTGCTGACTGCACTTCATTTAAAAGCCACAGATGTCATTAATAATAGCAAGGGCTTTCTGAAGATTCCACACATTGCCTTTTAACTGTGATGGTTAGTAGATGATGAATGACCAGGATGTATTGAGCGCCTGTCATAGCCACTGGAGTCACTGATTTGTAGTAGAGTCAATGCCACCAGCAGCACCTCATTGAGGGGGACATAAAGCTGCCGATCAGGGCTGCAGGGTGAAGCGTATCAAGGCCACAGGCCTTCTCCTCCTGAGATGGAGCCATTTGGTGTTTACAGAATTTAAGACACTGTACAGACATTTATAGGATATCAAATTATTGTTGTAGTTGAAAAAGACTTTTATTCAGTGCCTGGGAGAAACAGTACAGCACAATTTGTTATAAAAAGACGATATCCACAGGTTCCTCAGGAGCTCTACGGCCAGGTTAGTGTCTGAAATGCATACAAGGCTAAAACCTCTCTTTAACGGACGTTTTTTCTGTCCCTAAAACCCAGGACAGCATATCATCACTCCAGATAGATTAGCAGCAAACTAATCATTTCCAGCTTACTCACTAGTCGCTTTTAAAAGGAAAATAATTTCAGATTCAAAAGGCTCAATTTCAGCTAGACGGAATCTAGCCCTCTGGATGTGGGATTATTCATTACATTAGTGTCCATGTCCAACAAGGTCATTTAAATGTGGTGTGAAGGGAAAGCAACTGAATGTACCCGAGCAAAAAACACAATATTTTCATATGTGTGGAATACAAAGGATGGTTCCCATATGAACTTGTTTTGCAAAGCAGTCCTGGTAAGGCAGTTTCTTTTCAGGAGCTCTTTTGAAAGTAATTAAATGTTCTGTTCTGCGTATAATATAAAAGAGGGTATTTAGCTTCTTTTTTTTTTTTTCAAATCATTTTTTTCCTTACATAACTTCATTTAAAAATAAATATCTATTATCTTCTTTAAAATAGTCTTTAAAAGTTTGCTGTTCCCCATCATAACCCACAATTCTAAAATGAAATTGGAGAAAATATGGAAATGGTCAATACCTAAAATAAAAAATAACAGGATGGATATAGCATTTTTATAAACAGCTCAAAGGTAAAACAACGATAACGTTAAAAAACAAAAAAAATCACAAACAACAAACATGTAATATACAGAATTTGAAAAAAATGGATACAATTTGAGAAGCTTCTCCGCTCTCGTTTCGCCCCTTGGAGAAAATATGTGCCAAAGTCCCAGAGAAAAAGGCCCAACACCCCCCTGTTCGACCCATCTCTTTGGCGTTTGTGGAGGGGAGGAGCAGGCGAAGCGTCTCTGCCAGGCAAAGAGCCACAGGGCCAGTTCATTGGACGCCACATGCTCACCAGGCGTGTTCTCTGGAATTAAATCTGTGTTTAACTAGGGCCCAGAACAAAGAAAATAAAAGGGGGTATGGACGGGATTTATTTTTTCGAGTGTGTTGTGAAGGCGTTCTCGATGCAGAGGACGATGTAGGATCCGGAGCAGCTGCTGGAGCTCTGCTGCAGGAGCTGTCTGCTCTGTAGTGACGATGCCAGGCCAGACACGGCGTGGTCGCCCGTCCGCCATGTTTCACAGTAGTGGTCTGTTTGCCGGTGGCCTTTGTTGTTTGATCCATGCCAGACCATTTTCTCTGGCCTAAAGATAAGCAAAAACAAGCACTTGGGTCAAAATGTTCAATATACACTATGAGTCCAAATATAGATAACCAACAAAGTGGAAACAAAGACTACTGCTAAAAACAACTACATGATGGAGCTCAGGATGCTGTATTGAATTCATGTTAAACTAAATGATCAAACAACTTACCATGCGCTGTCTCTGAGAGTGTCTCTACCATCGAAGGAATAGATCGGTACATTCTCCCTCATTTTGTTCGTGTTGTCACCAAATATTGACTCCCAATTGTCGAACAACACTTGGTCCTGCAAGGAAGAGAATATAATGCTTTAAATTGTATTTCTCCTCTATGAATTCTTATTCATAAAGCAGCAAGGTTCATAGAATATCCTTAATTTTAGCCCATAAGCTTACAGAATTAAAATAATAATTTTCATTGGACATTTAATTAAAAAAAGTCGTAAGTCAACACAGGGATAGGGTCTATATGATTTACATTTTGAAAAACTGTCTATCAGTGGGGTTCAGCCGGTGTAGACACTCTGGCCGTTTCTCAATCTCGAGGATAC